ATACAGATTTGCAAGCAGAGTGTACAAATGTGGAATTAAGTAATAAAATGCACTGGAGACACTTTGAGGATTTGAGGTTTTTTGCAAAACTGTCTTAATACCTGAAGGTAGGAACATACCTCACAATGGTCCTGATTTCAGCAGTACGGTCCCAATGTGTGGGTTCCGTCCCGTCGTCCAGCTTTTGGGGACACCAGGGAACTGTCCCCAACAATCATAGCATGAGTGCGTAATAATATGTGCTTGTGCTGTGTTTAGGGGACTAGGACCATGTTTAGTGGGCCAGTAAAATAATTGGCAGGCAGCCTGGTGTGTATTCTGCCACTATTTCGTGCAGATCCGTCTCCTTTTGGGTGGAACTAGCGATGCAATTGCGCCACTGGCTTGCCCCTTTTACTCCCCTTCCTCCGGCGGCGGCCCAATTCTGGGACTGCTGATGTTTGGAGGTATGTAAGAAACACCAGGACACTCCTGTCGACATAACTACTTCAATGAGCTGAAGCTAATATGGGTGTGATAGTGTTCCTTTAAATCTATATTCATGAGTTTGTCTGTTCAGTTTGTAGAAATTTATATCTATTTTCATTATTCTCTGACACTTTCTATTTCTATCAGTTTTCAGCTTGCTTCTAGATGGTGTGTTAAACCACCCTTTAAATACCTCTAGCTGGCCTCTGTGTACTCTAGGTAATCTCTGGGTTATGTTTTTACTAGCATCTCGACACTAGTAAATTTCTGCATTAATTGAGCTAGGTATACCTTTGTAGCTTGCTTCTAAACATCACCTAGTAGATGTGTTTATCTGCCATCCTCTGGCTATGCTTTCTAGGCCAGGGACTCCTCACCTTTCTTGTTAGGGATGCAAATTATGTACGTGACATTAGCTCGGCCACCCATTATTTAATTAATACTGTTAAATCAACTCACTGAACTATTCTTCAGTCTGGTGTAACTAAAATTAAAACATAAAAATGAACATTATTATAGATACTGTATAAACTTTAATTACGATTGTATGGGGCTGCAATACTGAGAATGAATATCTCCGCTGTAATCCTCTGGAGCTGGAAGGGAAGCAGGGCAGTCTTTAAAGCGGGGAAAATGGAGTAACTGCCCAGGGCCCAGTTACTCCTGGGGGGCCCAAAGCAGCTGCTTCATGGGCCCACTACCCGCATCACTTTAGAGGGGACTGGTTGAACAGGGGCCCCTCTAGTGGATGCTGGGAGGAAGTGACAGCTGATCACTTCCTCCCAGTTTCATAAGAGAGCACCGCACCGGAGGAGGCTGGAATGAGCTGCTGCTCACACTCACTGCCATCAACCTCAGCCAGCATCATCAGGACTGAGCTGAAGGAAAGATCCAGCAGTGGAGTGGGGATCAGGCTGATTGAGGGCAGATCCAGGAGCTGTGTGTGCTTCCTAATGCGGCTATTGTATGTAGATGGCTGTGCTCTGGGTCCCTGTGCTAAGCTCTAATTCTCTCAGACTGCATTTAGGATTTCCTGGCTGGACATGGAGCACTTTTTTTTTTAATTCTTTATTTATTCCAAGGCAGTACATTACATTGAAAACATAATGCATCATAATATTGCGATATTGTTACATTGTGCATGACAGTATTCTCTTGCATTTTCAATAACAGTAGGCCAACACTCCTTTGAAGACCTTATATGTCCATTGTAGCATGGAGTGCGTCTATCAGAAAGCACGCCACTGTTTTCCTGTCCGCCCTGGTAAATTTTTTATATTATAAAGAAAAGTATAATAAACATAAAGAGGCTGAAGTTACCATACAAACATTTATTTTATCGATAGGACATGCCCTATCCATTCCTATGCAGTCATGTACGGATCCCATATATCCTTTTCATGAGCTCATTAGATTTTCTATCCGTTTGCTCCTGCTTTCACATGTCCACATCCTTTAGCGGTGCGAAGTATTTACATATTGCATGGAAGTGTTAGATCAGTTGTGATAAGTTCTCACATAGAAAAGCAAGAAAAAAGGGAAAGAGGAGTAAGAGGGGTAAGTATGAAGATAGGGAGTGTGGGGGGGGGAGTGGGAGGGGAGCGCGGGGAGAGTCAGGCCAACCTACATCCACCCGAGCCAAGCCCGTCTAAGGGAGCCTTTCATTGTGTGACCATCAAGCACTTGCTGCGCTGGCTACCCAAGGGCCCCAAATTTTTTCAAACTTTTTGGTTGTACCCCTAACCCGGGCTGTTAGATCATCCATCAGATAATTATCTTTAATTTTCCAAATCACCGCAGTGATTCCTGGGGCCTCTCTTTGCAGCCACACCTGTGCCAAAGCTCTCCTAGCAGCCAGGTTCACCTTATGTAATAGGGTCAGTTCTGTTTGTCCAGTTTTCTATAGATCTGGCTAGTAAGAATACCCATGGGTCTAGCTTAACCTCCCTCTCAAATATTTCTTGCAGCAGCTGCGCAATTTGTTGCCAATAAACTTGTGTAATTGGGCATTCCCATCACATGTGAATATATGTGCCCTTGAGGCCGCACCCCCGCCAGCATAGGTCTGTAGTAATTTTGTTTATACGGCTCAACTTTACCGGTGTAGCATACCATCGAAATAGCGTCTTATATGATTGTTCCTGCAGCGGCTGCCTCCCATATTTCCTGCCATTCCACACCCTCCAACGTCTCTCCTAAGTCTGCCTCCCAGTGGTCTATGTATGTAATTCCTCCCCATTCTAATGTGTTGTTGCACAAATGTGAGTATAGACGTGAAATCAATCCGCTTGGGAACTTTTCCTTTGCGCACATCCTTTCAAAGAATGTCATCTGTGCCTCTGTGGCTTTTTTAAACTGAAGTTCTTGGGCATAGTCTCTAATCTGGAGATATCTAAAAAAGTCAAATGGTGCTCACACACTTTTTGCTGTCACTGATCCTCTCCTTATGACGAGGGTCCACACATTTAGATATGTATGTTGCAGATCTCTGTGATCTGGTTGAATGGCTGCAGCTCAGAGAGTTTAGTAAAAACTTTTTGGGGAGCCACCCCACTCTTTTCTTCTGCCATGCCTCCCCACTACTTTTGCTTTCTGGCCTGTGCTCTCCCCACTCATTTAGTCTGTCATGCCTCCCCCCACTCTCTGCTTCTGCCCTGAGTCCCCTCACCCACTCTCTGCTTTTGCCCTGTCCCCCCCCCTCTAATTCTGCCCTGTGCCCCCTCCTCCCACTCTCTGCTTCTACCCTGTGTCCCCTCCTCCCACTCTCTGCTTCTGCTCTGTGTCCCCCCTGACTCTCTGACTCTCTGCTTCTGCCCTGTGTCCCCCACTCTCTGCTTCTGCCATGTGTCCCCCCTCCTACTCTCTGCTTCTGTCATGTGTTCCCCCCACTCTATGCTTCTGAACTGCCCCCACTTTCTGCTTCAGCCCTGTGCCCCCCCAACTTTCTGCTTCTACCCCGTGCCACCCCTCTGTATTTCTGCCCAGTGCTCCCACTCTCTATTTCTGCCCTGTGCAACCCCCTCTCTTCTTCTGCCCTGCGCCCCCACCCTCTCTCTGCTTCTGCCCTGCTCCAAACATAAAACATATCACATGTAAGAGTCTATGTATGTCAAAGTGTGTGTGTGTGTTGCTGAGTGTCAATGTGTGTATCTGAGTGTGTATGTGCCAGTGTGTGTATCTGAGCATGTGTGCCTGAGTGTGTGTATATGCTAGTGTGTGTTTCTGAGTGTATGTGTATCTGTGTGTCAAGGTGTATGTATGTGTCAGTGTGTTTATATGTGTGTTAATGTGTATGTGTATGTGTATCTGTATGTGCATACATCCCAGCAATCAAAAACTTGCAAACACATCACTGATTTCAAACTCCAAAATTATATATATGTAAACACACCCCTTCACTCAAACACCAATACTACACACAAAAGTGTATTCGCATTTAGAAGACACTACATCCAAACACACCCCGAATGAAATTATATACAAACACACCTTTGTATTAAAACGCTAACATTATATGCAAGCACCAACTCTACTCATGCACACACACTTGCATTTAAAAGCCAACACTACATACAAGTACTCCACTGCATTCCAATGGTAAAAGTACATACAAATACATATCTACATGCACACACCTACTCTATACAAAAACAGGCTTACAAACTGGCATAGCATCATGGGAGATATACGTACAACAGATGGGTATCTATCTTTCACATTTCTTGCGCAATGGGGGGGGAGGGTTGCATGGTCCAGGGGGCCCAAACAAACGCTTGCCCAGGGTCCAATCGATATTAAAGATGGCTCTGATGGGAAGCGCTGGTTAGTGAATATAGCCCATTCCCCCAGCAACTGGATGATACACAGTTATGGGAGTCAACTGCTTTTTATTAGCCCACACATGGATTTGTATGCACAGCCCCATAGTATGGAGTCTCCAGGACAAGTTTACAGTGAATTTTCCCAAGGTGCACTGGGTCTGAACGATAATTGAGCTGGGAATTTTAGATAAATCAATTATCTCTCAGTTTTATGATATACATACAATTTTGTAAAACATCCCCAAAAAAGTATTAAATAAAACAGTACAGGAACCACACACAATTCTTATATCCCCAAATAGCCTGAATCTGAGCTCACAACATATCCAAAAAGCACTCAGATTGGTTTGGTGGAACAAGATCGCTATTTGGGAGAAGATTTCACCAGCTGGCCACAAGGTGATGCCCCAAAAAGAGTTCCAGAGAATCCCGGGCTGTAGCTGGTCTTGGTTTGGGAGTTCCCGCACGAACACCAACGAACGCTCCCCCTGGCTCTTAGGTAGCGAATGCTCCCTGAGTCGCTAGATCATATCTCCCGAATGTGGTTTGGGTAGTTGTTTAGGAAAGTATACAGGCAGCAGTGCCATCTTGACCGGGGTTTGCGAGAATGTGTTGCCGAAATTAGTTCAATGCACTCGACGAACAAGTACTGCTGCCTGCATTTGGGAGACAAAATTGCCACGTGTGTTTGGTTATATGAACAGCCACCCAGGGAAAGCACTCCAGTAATTGGCATGTGTGTTTGGTTATGTGAACAGCCACCCAGGGAAAGCACTCCTTAATTGCGTTTAACAGCCAGGGGTGGTCAGTATTCTAAGTCAATAACAGGGGGGACCTCCCAAGTTCTGTTCGGTTCCCAAACAGGGGGTTACGAATCTGTTCGCAAGAACTCAATATGGGTTCCACACTTAGACGTGTCACACTCAGATGCACCAACAATATGGAGTTCCTATAAAAGAGGAACATTAGGATAGAAAAGAGGGACAGAACGATATGGGCCCAAAATAAGGACTGTCCCTCCTAAATATGGACATTTGGGATACTTGAGATCTCTATACAGATTGTGTAAGCAGAGTGCACAAATTTGGATTTAAGAAACAATAGGCATGTCTATTCCTACCAGTGAGAAATCATTAAAATAACACAGGGACCATTTTTGCATTCCCAACTCGGGCTTTGGGGAACACTGGCAAAGGCACAAATTAGTTGCTTTTATTTATAAAGCTCTAGGAGCACAATTCATTATTGTTTCCAGTCGTTTTCTGGGAGTAAGTCACTATATTATCATGGCTCCTTCTCTTTTTGGACACTGTTGCATGATTTTTTGGAGATTTCATTAGTGTCGTGGTATTAAATATATTAAATGCTATGTTACATTGGAGTGGACCTGTCATTCACAGAACTTGTCGATGATAAGGTTACTTTTAATTAAATGTAAATATAATCCATACATTGTGGATTAAAAATGGCTACAGGTGTATAGCTTATAAGATTTAGTTACATGAATATATTTTCCTTCTCCTCCAAGATGACCAAGATATCCACTAAAGGATTGGTCAGCTGGAGATGCAGCCTACTTCCTTCATGTGAGGGCAGAGCTACAGCTCATGAATGCCATATTTGTAGTCTCTACCTCTATGAAGATGGCAAAGAAGGAATAGAATTAAATGGATACAAAGTTTCAAGATAGGGTCACTTCATGCATATCTTTTGATTGATACTGACCCACATTAAAAGAACAATCCAAACATGGAGACTGGAGTGCTCAGTCCTCTGAGTTCCATAGGGAATAGGGCAAGCGGTGCCCAATGGACCACAAGCAAAAGGTCAAGCTGTTCTAAAATGGGTTGATGTCTTACAATGGGTGGTGTAACAACTACAGTGAGCTGTTATGGTGCTTAGAGTGTTCCTTTAATTTGTGTGATTGTGGCACTTAGCAGCTGTTTGCAGATTGAACCAGGAAGATCTATAACCACCTTCCATAAAACAGTCTAGACCAGGGTTGGTAAACTGTGGCCATTAGAACGTATGTGGACTGCAACTCTCAAAATTCAAAATCAAAGTATTCTAGGAGTTATAGATGTCAAGATGTCTGTGTATTTTGACAAAACTGATCTAGACTGACAGAATAGCTAAGGTATAAAACATCCAGGGTAAAATTGCAATGGTAGCTTTCTGGTTTCACATCAAAGTGAATCAGAATGAAAATTTCTCTTGATGAATAGTAGAACAATGTGAACACTAAAGTGAAGATGAAAGCGCTGTCCATTCTCACCTTGTTTCTGAAACTGAGGAACAACAGCATGGTGAATTGAGTACAGAAGGTCACGACATGCAATCATAGCATAGAATGTTCTGTTACAGTCTTTATAACATATAGTTGACATTGATGCTTTCGTCATCATAGGTAAACCCTTATAGCTTGAGGCAAGTGTAACATCACTGCCTAAGAAACAGGAAACTCAGGTCTGGATCCCTGACCAGTAAGTGCCCTTGGGCCACACATCTGACATTATATATGTACATCCACCTACCTCAAATCCTCATATTTTGGCTTGTTTGAGCAGGACCTTATTTACGTCTAAATATCCCTTTTTATAAATGATTGCCATTTCATTTCTATAATTCCCTTAGAGGTTAATCAATCCAGCATTCTAATGATTAAAGGGTTACTCTTTATTTCTGTTAAAAAAAATGCCCTATTGGGCATAATTCTTTAGGTGCAGTCTCTTGAAAAATCGTATTTAAAGAATTTTTACTTACCTTAATCCAGTCACAGAAAAAGCTCCCAGCGATGCTCAGCACGACCCTTTGTGACATCACTAGAGCCACACAGAGGTCTAATCAAAGGCTTCTCACAGAGAAACCTTTGATTGGACTATGTAACCAGATCAGAGCTCATGTACATGGTCTGAGCCGGCAAAGGAAGTGGGAGAAAAGTGTACAACTGTTGTAAGCTGAAACACTGCACATCCAGACTCCTACCACCATGATTACTTCAAAAAGCATAAGTTGGTGGTTGGAGAAGCCGTTTAATTTACCTCGAGCCAATACCAATACACCAAGCTAGTTAGCTTTTTAATAGTTTAAGTGTATCTCTTAAACTCTTTAAATAAACATTTTAAAGGGTGGCCTTTTCACTTTGAATACATATTAGCTCGAGTTAAGCTGTACTAGTGCAATTCAAGCTGCTCTAAGTGTTTTCCTGAAGGTCACTGTGCTTTATATCATATCTTGATATCTCAATTATCTTCATCTAAATAGAAATAGGTATATTGAGGACAGGGAGACTCTTTAAAGGATCACTATAGTGTCAGGAAAACAAAGCGGTTTTCCTGATACTATAGTGCCCTGAGGGTGCCCCCACCCTCAGGGTCCCCCTCCCGTGGTGCTGAAGGGGTTAAAACCCCTTCAGCCACTTACCTTAATCCAGCGCTGGGCTCCCTCGGCGCTGGTGACCTCTCCTCCTCACCTGACGTCAGCAAAGCCAAATGCACATGCGCGGCAAGTGCCGTGCGAGCATTCAAAGTGTCCATAGGAAAGCATTTCTCAATGCTTTCCTATGGATGCTCGGCGTGACGGAGGCATAATATAGCCACTAGAGGCTGGCTTAACCCCAAATGTAAACAAAGCAGTTTCTCTGAAACTCTATGTTTGCATCTGAAGGGTTAAAACCTGAGGGACCTGGCACCCAGACCACTTCATTGAGCTGAAGTGGTCTGGGTGACTATAGTGTCCCTTTAAAAAAGGTGCCACCTTGAAGCAGAGCACTGATATGAACACATTGCTAGGCATTTACCACATTGGTTATTCTCCAAAACCCAAGGACAGGATTGGAGCTTCACCAAATCAAATAATGCGACTGGACCTTTTTTTAAAATGAATGCTGACTTGGGGGGAGGGGGGGGGGGGCTGTCTGTGTCTCAGCTCATAGCCTACATTGGAATATTGAGGAAAATTCAAAAGACACTTACGGATGGGAATACTGATCTATTCCACAAATTGATGGTTGATGGAGATACTGCTATACTACTATCTACTAGCGACAATATTACTGGCTCCATAAATAGTGAGTGTAACCAGTATACATGTGTACGCCTGAGACTGTAAAACATAATACACTATGAGAAGTTAAAGGAACACCCCACTGAACAAATACAAAATCAATTTTAAAAATCACTGTTTAGTACATTTACCCCAAATTAAACATTGCATGTATTTCCATTGGAAATATATCTAAAAACAGTTTGCAAAAGACTCTCTTGTCTACTGCCTTGCAAACCCTCCCCTTCAAACCCCGCCCAGACTTTCTGTGGCTGTCCAATCACAGACTTCCCAATGTAGCTCAATTAGAAGTCTTTGCAAGGCAGGTGTTCTGGGCTGTTGCTGCCTCTTGAGTTCAGAGCAAATATGCTAACAAAATCAGGAAGTAACAGAACCTGTTCTCTGCTTGAAAGGCTAGGGGGTGTAACCAGTATAATTTACAAAAGTGTGAATTTTTATTGAATTCTGCACATTTTCCAAAATGAAAAAATAGAACACACTCTTCACACAAACCTTTTCAGCAAACTAAAGTGCTTTATGGGTCTGGAGTGGCCATTTAAGCACCACTACAGCAATCTATGAATTATTTCTAGTCCCATTGTAACGAGAACAGAAGGCGACGGCGTATGCAACTTGCACCGCAGACCTGTCCCACTATTTGGTCCATAACTTCTCCTCTGTTACCATTGACCACTGTTGCCCTCCAGGCAGGAATTGACCTGCTTGTCCTCTTCCTTCCAAACAGGTACTGACTCCTCACCGGTCCTTCTAATTCCAGGCAGGTACTGATTCCTGAACAGGGAACAGTGCAGACAAAAAGCATCTCCTAAAACTCTGCTACTGGAATCCCTGAAATGACCAGGCAAGACACACAGTTCCTAAAGCTACTACTACTTAGTTCTTTATTTCTACAAAGGCTTAGTCCTTATCAACATTGCATTTAACGTATGGTAACTTGTGGTAACAAAAAAAGCCAGGCAGTAACTTGATAGGACTTCAAACCTGCTGTGTACTCTGCATACCTGTTGTACATCCAAGAGAAGTCATCCAAAAATTCTGCTAGACACACAGGAGAGGACTAGTTCATAAACACATGAAACATACTTACCAAATTATGAGAAAGAAAACATAGACATAGCTCATTATCTTGCATCTGAATGGCTTAAAGGGAAACTGTAGGCACTATAGCCATTGAAGTGGTTATAGTGCATGGATTCCCCTGGCAATGTCCCTCCATTCAGTGTTAAACCCTTTTCGAGCAAAGTATCACTGAATGAGGGTCTCTGGCTTCCTATAGCCCTGACCCCACTGGAGATATGGCTAAGGCAGAGATTACACACGTCCTTGTAGCCATACGAATTCATGCCAGCAATGGCACTGTAATAGGCTGAATGCAGTCAGCTGACACTCACAGCCAATCACAGCCACCCATTGCTGCTCAAACAAATGCTTTCTCATAAGCCAAAGCAGCACAGAGGGGATGGTCTGCTGCAACTCTGGATTTGCATTAAAGCATTACAAACAGTTTAATGCTGAATGAAAGGATAGCACCAGGGGATTCCCGACACTATAACCACTTTAGTGCGATGAAGCAGTTATGGTGCTTATCATGTCCCTTTTAGGGGTTGAGGGTACTTTGTATAAATGAGAAACACGCTGCTGTTTTGCAGCACCCATACTGGGATTTAACACAGTAAAGCACTCTAATTGTTCTGTCTAGTTTCTACTTTATTTAATACACATTCAACAATTGTTTCTACCTACCGAGCTAACAGCAGCCTCCGTTTCACATTCCAATTTGTTTGGCAGATGATTTGGCTACCGTGCCTTTAATATTGCTTGTATCTATGTACTTTGTGCCAAAAATGGTAAAATGAGGTTATTATACAACCAACATCATTTTGAAA